CCCCAAAACCCCAAAACCCCAAAACCCCTAGAAATGGAATAAAAAGATAAAAAAGCTGACAGAGTAAGTTAAGGGATTTATTTTGTTTAAATTAATACTCTATAACGTTTATTTATTCATTAGATCATATTGCTATATTAGATATTAAGAGACAAGCCAACTGGCAACTACCTCAATCAATATTTACAAGCAAACTCATAATAATATTTGATGATTGCAATGGAATCTACGGGTTACCATACACACCCCTATTATTAGATATTCATTATCCATGCATAATGGAATCTTCCATCTCTATATCTGTTGTGTGGTCAGATTCATCCTGATAGTGAGTTTGATTATATCTGGAAGTCTAAGTGTCTCTATCTTATTAGGTGTTATCTGCTTGTTACTATTGTTGCTTTCCTTTACTTTCTTAATTCATTACACTGATATTAAAACTTGACTCGTCTACTAAACTGTGATTGATTAGATAAATTCTCTACATTGCATCTACGTATTGCTACACAGTAGACATGTTATTGATATCGTTCATCCACTCATCCTTCATTAATATATCGTGGATTGTTGGTCTAAGCACTGGGTTAGCATTTAGAAGTTTACCAAGTAGATTCTTGAGAGTTTAAGGTATCAACCCAGGTATCCTATTAATAAGCTTGGTTAGGTGATGTTCGTTGAAAAACTGTTCAATTAAAATAGCGTTCCCCGAGCTCAACAGCTAAAACATTGGATCCTCTGGATTGTTAATTTTAAAGGGCATGATTCCAAAGTACATAGTGAAAAGTAAAATACCTAATGAGAAGACATCAGCTTTCTCTCCCTAGTAAGTGAAAATCTTAGGAGCTACTTAATCACTTTTTTTACTAGTCTTGTGAATTTACTATTAATTATCACCTTAAACTATTTAAGCCTATGAAGGACTTTAACCGGCTCCTTGATCAAATCTTGATCTGGTCTGGCCTTCTTGCCTCAAAATCCTGTTATTTTCAAAAGTTCTGAGCACCTCTGGAGCTAGGTATTATGCAGTGCCCTTAGACAATTTTAGATCTTAGTTTTTAGGCTCACAAAAAGCGAAGTCAATTAACTTGATTCTGAAGTTCGAATCTACGACCAAGTTTTCCAGTTTAATGTCCATGTGAGCTATGTCGCATTACTCGTGCAAGAAATTTATGCCACAGAGGACTTAGTAGAACAGCGAGTGACACATTTTAGCCTGCAGTCTCGTCTCCCCTGATTTCACATACTAAAACAAGTCGTCTTTCTCACAATACTCAAAGACAATGTATGCAGCGTCAAGGCCAACATATTCGTGTTCTGCGGCTGTAGTACCACTTCGAAGACTACTACATTTTTTTGCAGTTTTTTAGTCACTGATTCTCTGTTTTCTCAACTAAGAGCGAGTTTGCACTCCTGCTCTTCTTTCCTAGATCTGCGATTCCTGAGTGATCTCGTTCTTTTTCGAGCTGATGAGCTTGGCATCAAGAGTAGCAACAATATTCGGGTGAGGTCCTCTAAAACCTGATGCCGCAAAAGTCTTATTAAGATCAGACAGCACATTGAACTCCTTCTAGAATAATTCCAACTCGGGCTGTGAACTGTACACCTTCATTACCTTCATCAGAGTTTTGCTCATCTCCATCTGCTCATTGCCCTTGGTTTCTTCTTGAGGTGAAATAGATGAATTGGTATTGACTGAGTTTGAGTCAAGTTTAGATTTATGTGTGCTGATGAGCTTCTTTGAATGTTGGTGATTTACACTTGTTTTAATTTTTTATTGCTGTTATTATAAATCTTCAACTAAATACACTGAGCCACCTGAACCCTTAATCAGAGGCCTCACCACTGCGTATCGATCATCAATGATGAAGCCTTAGGGAAGGCTGCTCCAGTTGATGAGTTAAGGTAAAATTTCCATTATTAGTTTTGTTATGAGTTGAATAAATGATCTTTATAAATTTATACCTACGATTGATTAAAAGACAAATCTACTCAATCAATTGATTTGATTCTCTATTAATAAAACTTGAATATGAAAAGTATAGTTCAGTTAATTATTTAAGACGCTATCTCACATCCAATAAATGAATATTCTTATCTGTACTTCTTATCTTTATAGATTTTATCTTATGGGGTTTTGGGGTTTTGGGGTTTTGGGATTAGGAACTGATGA